GGCTTCCTTTAGCTCTGGGCCATGGGGACACCCGCGAGAAAAAAAAACAAAAACACCCCACCCGAGTGAAGGCCAGGGGCTCAAAGGTGGATCCCATGGCCACGGGAAGGTAGCAGAAAAGTCCCATGTAGCCTTCCCTGGCTTCTGGATCCGCTTCCTGAAACCAGCGTGGGCCGATGAGCGTTTGCGTGAGACATCATGGGGAGTTACAGTTGGGGTGCCCCGGAGAAACAGGTTCGATAAGACATCATGGCTAGAATGAATCAGCAACCGTGGATGATGAAACCAAATAATGAGGAGTTCTACTCACTTGGGTAGAAATAATAGACATGCACCGGTGAATCACGGCTTTAAACACCACTTGTTGACATGACTTATGACGAGTCACCACTTATACTAATTAGTGGATGAACATGAGAGGATATTTGGCTGTGAGTGTCTTGGGGCGACACAGCCATTGAGCATTCATTGATTTGTTCGCTTCTATTCGCAGGCTCACCCCACGCTTCCTGACCCTGAAAGCAGCATTCCGTCCTGATTGCTGGCGTTCGTGAGGATATCAGGCAAAAGCCTTAGACGGAGACGTCGGATTCCCTCAAAAGACAGGTTTGCTTGAGAGTGTCGCCCTTGTGCATTTCAGCAAACCAAAAGAAGGACGTCCATAGTCCGATAACAAGGGTGCGTTACGTTCATTGCAGCTGTTTCGAAGGATAGAAATGTAGCATAATGTAGCTAATAATATGATTTTGGCACCCATTTTGCATGCAGCAAAGGTTGCCACACATGTCTTGCTGATCCCTCGTGTCATAAAAAACAACCTTTAGCTCCACATAGCTCCCCCGCAAACGTAAAATGCTGTGCTCAATTAGATCGGTGTGAAGTCAGCAATACAGAACCATCAGAACCACTCTCCCAAAAAGCCCGGTCTCTTCCGGATGTCGTTTTTCCACAGCCCGGACAAACTCCTCCCTCCCCAGGTCCCTCGATTGTTCTTCGTCTCACCACCGAGCCGAGCCGAGTGACATTTCAATGCGATCCGAGCCCTTGGCCATCAAGACCTAACGGAAAGGACTAAATCAGGTCGCTCGCCAGGCACGCAGGTCTCCGGGCCAGCGCGAACGGAGAACACGTGGGACCCATGAAACGAGCGAAAGTGAGAGGGGCCCCGAAACGTGAGACATCGATCTGCCCGAAAACACCACCCACCATCTCTCCATCCCGATTGCAATTGGGACCCAAAAAAACCATGTAAAACCCTTGAACACGTGCCATCTCAATAGCACTGCCCAACCATCCCAACCACACAAAATAGATCAACATAGCATGCCCAGACACGACTAATGGGACTGGCATATTTACATTTGGGGTGGTGCCAGAGGGGTCAATGTATATAGATATATAGACATGGAGTGCTCCATCCACCCCACCGCACCGACGCCGACTCCGCTCCGCAGCCGTCGACACCCGGCTCCGTGCCCGGCCTCGGAGAGCCCGTGCGCGGCGCCGCTGCGCTCCACGGCGCTGCCCGAGGAGCGGAGCATCTCGAAGAGCCACGGCAACACGTCGCCTGCGCGGAGCGCGGCAGACCGCGAGGGAGAACGGGGAGAACGTGTTTTTAAACACGGCGTGTCTTTCAGACACGGCGTGTTTTTGAGCTAGTCTAATACCAAGGACCCTGTTGTTGTTGTTGTTGTTGTTTTGAACATGTGGCTTGGAATCGGCATACTTTATCTTTCAGTGGTTGACTTTGAATGACTTTGACATACTTTGATTGATTTGGGGGGATATTTGGGGGGATTCCATTCGCCAATCTCCGAAAAGTCACTTTCAGCTTCATGACAGGCGGTTCACCACGGCCCGTTTCGTCCATCTTGGTCGAACCTCAAGACCAACGTGAAACAACCCCAAGACCACCATGTGATGCCCCACGACGACTCTTCGGTTGGTTTCAAGGTGTTTCCATTTGCTTGCAAACTCTATATAATATGGTGAGTTCAATGATTATCTCAAGTAAAGGTTACGGTTGAACATCAATGAGATATATCAGAAACCACCCCCGAACGTCATACCCAGTCTCTGATTCTGGACCAACCACATGCAACGATCAAACGCCGAACGTCAGTTCTGACGATGGTCACGTCTGTACTTCGGCGACTTCGTCGAAGCCAAACCGTCCAAGTGGCCCAACATGTCTTCCGGCAAGGCATTGGCCAAGGTCCCGAAAGCCTTCGCTGAGGTCGCCCGCCTGAGGCAGATCGGATCTAGTCTGTACGTCTTGCTGGCGGCCGGACTGTGAGCATCAGCTTCTCTAAGGCTCTTGACATGAGTTTTTCGAGGGACAATGATGAAAATAGTCGAATTCTAATATTTTCTTGAGTCGGGGACAAGAGTGGCTACTACGGAGGGGGCATGGTGAAGAGCAATCTGATTAATTACGGTTTGCAAAGTAAATGGCACAACATTGCACAAACCCAATGCTGTGAAGCGTCACGCACGGAAACTACCATCTCGTGCAATTGTTAAATGAACACAGGGCCACAACATATCATTAAAGGAAGCTCAACTTCGTGTCTGCGTTCGATTTCCAATGACTTGGGGCAGCCAACCATAGCCAACCTCTTCTACGAAACTCTCGCAGTCCAATCCCGCTCCAACCCACCTTCCGCTTCCGTTTGCTTCCGCTCTCCTTGCGTCCTCGACGTCCGAAACGCCTGCATCCTCGGGTCTGCTCTCCCTGGGCCATGCGTCCGAGAGGCACGTCGGGGACCTGATCCACTAAGGTGACTTTGAGCTGTGGGATCAGCATCTCCAAGTAGGGCTGAATATCTTTGGCATCCTGCGCACCGCGAGACAAAGCAGCAAGCAGCTCTCAGCTTGGTGTTCTGGCTAGCAGCTGGGTGTTCTGCGTGGGGCTGGAAACAGGATGCAACAGGCATGAAAGAGCTGCATCTGTGAATTCAAGGAACCACCTCCACCTCCAAAAACCAACCAAATTCCCCACCGCCCAGGCACGCCCCCGCGCCAACAACGCGACCTTCCAAAATGGCACGCATACCTATTACAGTACACCGAAGCCGAAGATACGGAACTCCGTTGGTCGTTTTGCACCGGTCGTTGCCCCAGCAGACAGCGCCTTGATGAGGAGCACCATTGCGCCCACGATCTGCGCGCCTTTCCGTTTCATGTCGCCGGAACGTTCCTTCATGGCCCGGTGGATCAGTGGGCACACCTCGCGGCGGGAAGAAGGAAGGGTCTGGTCAGACGGGGCAGGTGGAGAACGAAAAACCATGCGTGGAAAGGATGATCACTCACGACGAAACCTCAACATGGCATGGCCATAACATGGCCACTGGTCAAAATCAAGTGACCTTCACACCAACCAAGTCCCAAGCGTTTTCCATTCTTCGCGTTCCACGTGATTGCCGAGGCACCAATGAAAGGGATGGCGCATCAATGTGATGTACAAATGAGGTCGCCAGAAGCTTATCAAGCACATTACGTGTGATGTGCTCAAACCTTGGTTCTTCGCACATCACGCGCGACTTGACACAGGTCAGGCGTGAGCTTTTGGCAAGGACTTGTTGACAGCAAAACCTTCCCCAACTCCAGCGCTTCACCACAGCGGCTGAGCTCCATCGGTCATGGCGCTAATGAGCTGTGGGGCGATGGCCTTGATCTCTGGGCCTTGGGAGATTCGGGCTTCGCATCCGGGCCGAAGCGCTCTTTTCACCATTTCAGTGGTTTCAGAGGTTCGATATGGTTCGATGGCACTGGCACCCCAAGATGTCTTTAGACGGGGGTCCATATAAACCACCTCTTGGGGTGCCAGTGCCATCTATCCTGAAACCACTGTACACGCAGAAAAACAAGCAGCAAGCAAGGTTCCCCGACTGTGGGAGAAAAGAACTCATAATATATATATATACACATACATTATATAATATAAAAGAGGGAGGCAATCTAAAGGCACTAGAAGCTATCATAGTGGGACTAGCACGACTAGCGGTACAAGTACTGTCATTGAATCTTGGTGCGCATGAAGGGCAAGTACGTGGGTGACTCCCCAAATACCGCCAGGTGGCTACTGATGATGCTTCCAACCTTGTTGATGGCTTCTCTGGCAGCTTCCTTCACCTGCACAAGTTGGTGGCTCCCAAATGCGGCACAAGAGCTGGAACCCTCTTTGAGAGGGGTCCAGCTCTCTCTATATTAAGAAGGGGTCCTCTTGATAGTGGTTCGCAAAGCCATCTATTAAGCGGGCGGATCTTTGTGTCTTGGCCTTCTCAACACTCTACAACCCCACGGCTCCAGTCGTACCTCCTCAGGTTCGGTATGACTGGACCCTCCTGGCACCTGGGCCCCCAGTTTGGAAGGTGCTTGGAGCCCTTGGGCCGTTGCACGTATTGTTCTAGAGGAGTTTCAACAATCCATTCAAAACGAATGCTAGCTGCACCCCGCATAACACTAGGTGACGTCACTAATGCTGTTTGTTTTCTGTTTTCTTTTGAACATCTCGAAACCAAACAAAAAACATCGCACCAGGAGTTTCCAAAGGGCCTGGTGTTGAGTCCCATCCAGGCAGCCCGACTTCCTCCGTTCGTGACCGGCACCTCTTGGTGACTTGGCTCACCTCCGGGACCCCCTGAGACGCTCAACGGTCCACCTTGGCGTGCTGGTCATTGATCACGGTGCACAGCGCGGGCACCACCTGGTGCGTGATCGGCCCATGGGCAGAATCCTCTGCGTACGTGGTGGCGAACGACGGATTTCTCCATATACACCAAATGATTGAATGGGACACAGAAATGAATTGGCTGGACCAGAAAAATGTCTCTAAGGCTGGCCACTGGGACAAGGGATATTTCAAACGAAGCGGCTAGGGATGTTCATGTTTACTTGCAAGGCACTCTCTCATCAGAATGATCGCTCGCATTTTTTTGCACGGTTCAAGACGCCATGTGTGCAGAGGTTGCACAGGTCATCTTATGCTAGTGAAGAGAGTTACGATCAAGGTTGACATCAGAATGATCGCTCGCATGTGTGTCTGAGCCTTTCGGTGGATGAAGCGGAACCTTTCTGCCGCCCCGGCGGTTACGAACGGCACTGCGTCGACCGGAGTGCCTGTGGGAGGCACGCAGCCAGCTGTTTCTCCAAGCATTGAGTCATAGAGGCCAGCAACTCGATACTGCCCAGTTTCGTCCGCCACCTGGCAGTTTTGGTTTGAAATCCCTTCCGCCTTTTGCGTGCTTTTTTTGTTTAAAACAAAATAGCTAATTGTCTGGGTGGGTTCCAGGGATTTTTCTATCAGCAGCATGAGTCCGCAGGAGTTTTCTTTTTCTATAGTTTTGCGTACCTGCATACTGACTGCCCTGGGTGTTTTGACCATCTCCAGGATGGCCTTGCTCCCTCAGCGTAAGAAACACCCAAATGGCGTTCAACGTCTTCACTAGTTCTTGATGCCACGTCTTCACTAGTTCTTGATGCCCCCTCCTATCTAAAGAAGGAAGACACTCTACTTGCTTCGATCCTATTGCAAGGCCTTCCATGGCGCAAAACCACACACGTGCAACTACTCAATGAGATGACTCAGCACAAACCAGGACTATGTTCACACCGGGTCACATTTTGCCATTCAAGTTGGCACCATATTGAAACCTATCAAGCTGCACACACACACACAAAACCTCATCACCATGTCACTTGGACCTGTCCGCTGAGGGAGAACAAAAAAATCGCAGGATCACCATAGTGTTTGATGGATTGGGTCATCAAAAAGCGAACTAAAATTAAATTCAAATTTTTAGTTTTCTTTTTGACGACCCAATCCAACCATTATGTCATTCACACAATCCCTTCGTCAATTATGGCGAAAAAACATAGACCTGCAGCCATGCCGCTGTTTGTCCTGGATGCCTGCCAGCAGAGGTGTTAAGACCTGCAGAGGTCCAAGAGATGCCGCTGTAAATGGAGATGCGGTCGGAAACGACGACTCAACGACCCTCCCGTAACATGGTAAGCTGTTGACGGAACCGCTTGTGAGGTACACCTGCATGAAGGAAAAAAACAAAAACATATGATAGAATATGATAGATGGAGATAAATGGAGCACGTTGAAAAACACACATCATGATTATTGCAAATTCGATTCTTCTTTTAGGAAGGTGGATTGCCATGGACAACATAGACATAGAAGTCTAGCGACGCCCAACGGCAACGAGGATGAAGCTTTCCACCTGAGCCAACTGAGCCAAACCTTTGCAACGGAGGGCGTTGTAAATGAATTCAACGGATGGCGTTGTAACAAGTCCCATGTCATGTGGCAAGCCGTTGGCCGCACACATCAGCAGGAGTCGGCAAGCCGTGCAAAGCTCTGCCCCAACATGAGGTCCCCCAAACAGAACGAAAAGGATTCTGAAACAACATGGCGGGGACCCCACATCTTGCCCACAGTGACTGGATTAAGACAATTAACATAATTAACCACCATTCTTTCAAACCCACCTCTCTCTTCCGCAACTCTTCCGTCAGGAACAACTCTATCCCAAACACTCCATGGGACTGTTATATTCACCGATCAGTTGGGGTGGTTGACCACGGGTGAACGTAGGTATATAAACCAGTAGTCACTTGGAGTTGGGTAGTGTGGCGAGCTCGTCCCATCCAGGGGCCGTGGATGTGACGTTCGGGCCTGTTCAGGCACCCTCCATGGAGTCCGCACCCTGTCCTCCATGTGACTGCTTTCCATCCGCCTGCTTGACACCTGGACCACTGAGCTGCGACATCATGGCACCGGCGGCGACCTGCGTCACCAGCGACCGGATCGCCCGGACAACGGGGAGCGATGACCTCAACATCCAAACTGACACGTGGCACCGCCGCGTTTTGGATCAAAGACCATGGTTTCTTTTAAATCAGTATTTTTCCTCAACCAATCATTGGTCAAAAAGAGGTCAAAAGTCATTGAAGTGCTCCTAAAAACCGCTCTGGCAACGTCTTCTTTCCCCCTGACCTACCGTGCCTGTGAGGCATTGCGGACGCTCTGCTGGGAGTCGCTGAAGGCCTGCGACGGTCGTGACACCGACCCGGTACCGAGAGTTGGGCGTGAACGGACACGGAAGGACCTTCAGGAGCGTGTAATGTGACAGTTAACGTTGTGTTTGTGTATATATATGATACTGATGCATGTATATGCCAGAGCCATGATTTGAATGGATATAGTTCTTCTTTGATTAGTTAGGAGTGTACGAAATAGTAGACCATAGTAGACCCCTCTATTTTGAGACAACCTCAATAATTGAGAGCGAAGCCTCTGGCTGTCTAAGGTGCCTCTCTGGCCCGAGGCCACGGAAAAGCGCTGCTAACGGGTAGCAACAGGCTCATGTTCCATCGCTTGGTCCCCAACCCTCGCCTTTTGAATGACACCCTGCCATGCAGGGCAGCCTTTGCCGGTTGCAAGGCTTGGCCCAATATGGAGCGGGCAAAAGCGACCCAAGATTGGTCGTCACCCCGATCCTCCGTTCGTTTGGCACCACGGTCATGAAACTGCTGCATCGCTCACAGTCTCCGACGCTGGGATCTTCTCGCACAGCTGCGGAGTTCCGCACGCTGCCGTTCTGGCGTCTCCCGGTGGAGACACCGAGGACAGAGGTGATCTTCCGCTGGAGACGGCTAAAGAGAGCACATGAGAGCACGGATGATGCACCTTTTTCGCCCGGCGCAAGTGCCACGAAACCCGAAGGGTTGAGTAGTAGCCATCTGTTGAAGGCGATGCCACGTGTCAGAAGAATTCTGAAGTAGATAGTACCAAGTGGTGGTGATGAGCAGCGCAAAGAACAAGCTAACCCCCACAGCCTACGAGGACCACCGTGATTGGAACATATTGGAACATGATATGACGAACTGGTCATTTCCAAAATCATCCAACATCTAAATGCAACATCAAACCAAACCTGCTGCCACACAAAGCTTACTCCAAACCTGGTGAAAAAAACGCTCCGTATACACATGTCTCTCTCTCTCTCTCTCTCTCTCACGTCAACCCCAAAAACATCGGATTCAGCAGCCACCTGCAGCAACAGTGGCAAAGATGAGACCACGTAGGGCTCAAAGAGTCGGCCTCAAGGGTCATCGCATCGCTGGTCGGTCACCGGAACCGCCGTCTGCGTAGGGCCGGGAAGGCGGAAGCAGAGCCGGTGGAAAGGCATCTGCTTGGACTGCGGTGTTCAGGAAGACCGGTATAGAAGTGCATTTGATAGAGGAAAAGGGTGCGTTTCAGGTGTCAAGACATGTGGCGGTTTCTTGAAGGGTGCCCTGTCGCATGAAGAGTCGAAGATCATTATATAGGAGTCCCGATCGTCAAGATCCCAAGTCCACGATGTGTTTCCTTGAGTATTTGAACGAAATCATCTATATGAATCATGGAGGCAAGATCAGAGACCTGACTGAGGCTCAGTGACTCCATCTTCGGATGAACACAGGACTCGCCCACAGGGTGAACTGACCCTTGACAAATCACACAGAAGTCGTTCTGCCAGAGACTTCACTGAGTCGCTGACCTAGCATCATGGTCAGCCCCTCCAGGCATAGCAACGCGCCCTCACGTACGGCGGCGCTCTTCTTGTCCTGGCGCGGAGAAAGCAGCTTCGCCCACCGCCGGACGGACCGGCCTTTCAGAGGGGGAAAGACCGACCGGAGAACGTCCGCCACCTGAGAAGCTGCAAAACGAAAGCCAGCGTTTTTACTTCGAGTGTGCTTTCTCAGGCCACTCCCCCGAACCCCCCGTCTTTCTCAGCTGGCGCAGGTATAGATACCCAGGGTAACTACAATTCAGTTACCAGGTATAATACTTCAAGTTCCCTTTCCGTCAACCGCCCGATAACCTTTACACACGCACAGCAATCCACAGCTTTGAAGTCTCATTCTTGCATTGAACTTATATAGGTGTGTAAGAGGTATAGCAACATAGCATCTATACGGACCCAGGGTAGCTACAATTCTGTTGCCAGGTATCCCACTTCAATTTCCCTACCCTGGGTCCGCGTGCGCGCGCGCGCCCCTTGCTGGCTCCCGGCTGCCCGTGATTTAGGCGCGCGCGCGCGCGCGGACCCAGGGCAGCGACAAGGCAGTTGCCAGGTATACCCAGGGTAGCTACAATTCAGTTGCCAAGTATAGCACTGCAACCAACCGAAGACAATTGCACTTCTTAGATTGACAAAAAAGCACCTCCAAAACCTTGTTTCCGTGCACCCCTACACACCACCTACTTTCGAGTGTGCTTTCTCAGGCCACCCCGAACCCCCCTTCTTAATTACTCAGCTGGCGCCTTGCCAGGCATAGATACCCAGGGTAGCTACAATTCAGTTGCCAGGTATAGTACTTCCAGTTCCCTTTCCGTCAACCGCTCGATAACCTTTACACATGCACAGCAAACCACAGCTTTCAAGGTTATCGAGCGGTTGTTGGAAAGGGAACTTGAAGTACTATACCTGGTAACTGAATTGTAGTTACCCTGGGTATCTATACCTGGCAAGGTGCCAACTACACCTTAACTTCCAGATGATGCAAATGATGCAAATTGCATTTCTTGCATCACCACCCCTCAAAAATCACCTCCAACACAATCTCAAAAAACCTTCCATCCGTCCACCCTCCTCCCCCAGCATGTGCCGAGTTTACGTGTACCTTTTGCGGGCCACCCCCCCAGACCCCCTAACTACTCTCTTCGTTCGCCAAGCACAACTCAGCTGGCGCCTTCTACGAAGGCTGGCTTTCGTAATCTGAAAGTTCCGGACTTTCAGCGTGCAAACAGATAAAATGATGGGAGGATCAATGACCAGTCGCAAGGAATGGGATGGCGTGTGACTTTATGGGTCAACCAGGGAGCGAACGGATCAGTGATAAATCACATGAAATCACGTCTATCAAGGCTCCTTCGCGACTTTGTTACGCTCGCCTCACAAATCAAACATGGGCACACAGACATGTATAGATTTACAGTAGATGTTTCTAGAATCTTTCAAAGTGCTTCACCCAAACGCTTCAAACTGCCCTTGGACCCTCAAAACCTGTAGGTTGACACCCCAAACCCCTCCATCTGAGCGTCCGATCCCTGTCCAGCAGCGTCCAAAACACGCCGAAACCTATAGACAGGTTGTGGGACGGCCTCCCGGCACTTCCCACGCACCCCCCCAGTCATTACCACATCCGAATCGAACTTCTGAGGTCCTCTGGACCGAGTTCCACCCGTGCTCCGCCTCCGCCTCACCGATCCGCGATCCCGCTCCTCGGCGGCGGCCCCAATGGTTATCAGGATGTTGTGTTGCCGCACCGCCTGGATACCAAGACCTGCCGGAACGCCGGCGACCGCCACGGGACCATTACGGGACCGGTCTGCCGGTCTCCGGATGTCTCCGGCGCATGGGTTCGTTAGGTGAGGAAGATGTTCGTCAGTCCGGATCCATAGGATGGTCATAGACTCATAGATCCTTGGAACAGCCTCAGGCATCTGTCAAATCAATGGCCGTGACTTGATTGATGCCTGCTTGCCTCAATCCCTATCAATCACTTCTCCTCTTTTGAGAAATCGGTTGGGTCATGTTGGACCCAGCATGACCCAGCCATAGATAGCCATAGTATGCATTCTCCACTTCCCCAAACTCCACCCCTCACTCACTCCTCCCCTCACCCCCCATCACTCGGAACCTCACCGCTCTAAGCGACAGGCTTTTCTGCAGGTCACTCCACTCCCAAGCCACTCCACAAACTTCCGGAAAACCGACTCCCAGTCCACTCCACTCCACTCCACTCCCAACCAGTCCACTCCACAAAAAAACTCTCACTCCACCCACAACATCCCACAACCGTTCCTTGGCCTTTCGCCCCAAGCGCGCCCCTTTCCCGCGCTCCAACCCCCCGCGCCTTTCACCGTGGCGCCCACGCCCATGGCGGCGCCGCGCCGCGTGACGGCGTCGGTCTTGGGCGCCAGGGCGGTCTCTAAGAGTTGGTCCAAGGTCTCGGCCGCCTTCTCCTGGAGAGATCAGGTGACTGGTGCTGCGGCACGGATGGAGAAGTAGACATGGGTATGACCGTATGACGGGTTACTGTATTCTTTTTTCACACATTTCGATGGATATATGTTTGTTTGGTGGTTTGACCTGGGGTCTTGGGGTCAGGGCCCTTAGACGGTTCAATCTTTCAATTGAAACATAAGATTCTTTTGCGAGGGAGGGGGGGTAATTGAAAGAATCAATTGGTTCACTGAACCTTTCACTCTTTAGCCTCACAATATTTCGTAAACAACAACTTCCGCTGAGCTCCTTCTGAGCTCGCTTTCGTGATTGACCCGTGAAACCACCTCAAAATGCAAAAATGCGCGCGAAGTGTTGTCCAGGAGTCAGAACAGAAAGCCAGAACTTCCGTAACTTGACTCGCCCAAACTCGCAGTCATGATCCACCACTGTACCACTTCTATTCTATGGAGATAAAATGACTCATGACATGTCATGACTCATGACTGGGACTTTGAGGTCTAAACTTTCTTTCAGTTGCCCAAGAGCTCTCCCAAGCTGGGTGGTTCGTGAGCACAAAACACTGCCCGTGACCCTTTACTTTTTTGGCCCGCTTGATCCAAGCAGCAAGCGCACGACTTCCAATTGGCTGGTCTCAGCTGCCATGAACAATGCCGTCAACCCATCGGTGCTTGCTCAGTGTTTGATCTCCTCCAGCATGCTCCAGCCTCACGCAGCAATTGCACGACTTCCACGTGGCCGTTCTGGTATGCCATGAACAAAGCTGTTGCCCCATCTGTCCTTGCTGCATCTTTGTCAGCTCCAGCCTCAAGCAGAAATCGCACGACTTCCAAGTGGCCGTTGTGGGCTGCAATTTGCAAAGCGGTTCCCCCATTGTTCTTTACGGCATCTTTGTCAGCTCCAGCTTCAATCAGCAAGCGCACTACTTCCAAGTGGCCGTTCTGGGCTGCAATGAACACTGCGGTTGCCCCAGTTGAATGTGCTGCAGCTTTGTCAGCTCCAGCCTCAATCAGTAATCGCACTACTTCCAAGTGGCCATTCTGGGCTGCCATGAACAAAGCCGTTTTCCCATGTGCAAGTAAACGTATCCCATTCGGGTCGTGCGGTTTTCGCAGCAGTTGTTCGAGATGTGCAACACGATTCTCCAGGCAGCTCTGAAGTAGTTCTTCTTGTGTGGTCTCATCAGGAATACACAAGGGCAGAATTACCAGTTGTACATTTGGCATTGGTGTTAAAGGCATGTCATCCTCCAATTCACCAATTTCGTCACTGAAGAGTTTTTGCTGAAACCTCGAGCACCCAACCCGAGCTGAAAGAAGTCGCTTTAAGTCCAGAACAGTATTTCCACTTTCCACCATGTAATGCAGCTCATCCTGATCAAGCTGAGCAACCGTGTTGCCAGACACAGCCGTAATCTCCATCGTTGAGGTTTAGAAACGGGAGGTGTTGGCTGGAGCCATAGAGTGAGACAAGGATGAAGAAAAAGCAGAACCACAAGCAAGCTGCGGATAGGAAGAAGGGTCAATAAGTCTGACAGAAACGGTTTCCAATCCATTTTGAGTGGGATCTACCATCTGTTTGGGGACCACTATAAAGTCGGAGATTCGAATCGAGTCGGCCGGGCCTTGCTTTCTCAGATCTCCGAATCTCCTCGCTCTGGTGACCAAGTCGTAGTCACATCCCTTGGGTTTTCCACGTGAAGGGCGAGCCACGCAGTGAGGTCCGAGAGAGCCACCTGTTAGGACACCGAGCCACGCTCGGTGAGTCGCAACCTCCATCAAAAGACTGCAGGGAAGTGGGAGGCGTAACCTGAGGTATCTCAATGAGTGACTACATGTTTTTCAGTGTCTGTTGTAGCACGCTCCTGACAACTTCAAATGGACCCTGAAAACTTAAAAAGCACCCTGAAAAGCACTGGTTCGGGTTGTAGAGAAAAAACAGCCTTTCAGGGTGCCATTCTCGGGTTCCATGTTGGTTTTCGGGAGTGTGGTTCTCACAGAAGCTAGGATTATCTAGGATCCAGCGTGCACCACCCACCCTGGTGGCTCACACCAGCGTGAGCGTGTGAGGAAAAACGACAACCAACATCATGAGAGGGACTCATAGGGACTCCGAAAGGATTAAGTTAGTAGGGTGCATCGCTACGTTCGTAGCAAGGGCATCGCTATATATATATATATATAGTACTCGTAGCTTCTGGCAACTAGTAGCGATGCACTTGTTACTTATAGTAGCTGCACACAAAGGACACTCTCTCAAGTGGTGACACGGTTGGAAAGTAATTTAATGATCCATCGAATCAATTAGCATTAACAACGCTAGCCTTATCCATCACAACACGACCCGATGGCCGTTCATCATCGTCTTTCCGAATTGAATCTTCTGCAGCATCCCACGCCCGAATGGCCGTTGCTCCTTATTCTGCTTCATCAAGGGAGGCATCACCTAGCACGAAGTTTAGTCATCGGCGCGCGGCTTCATTGAAAAGCCAACGAGTTCCAACAACTTTGTTGTAACAACTTCATAATATGATTTGATCTTCCTCAAGGATCCAAAGGTGCCAAAGTACTTTTCATTGAGCACGCCCTCACCTGGCACACTCAGCACGCCCTTCCCGTGAAAAAACAGCATACTCAGTCACCAGCTGGACACGACCAGCCCGTCTCCCACGACCAGCCCGTCTTGACCCTTCTCCGCACTAGACATGGTCGTTCACTCAATCTGGATAAATTTCCACATGACGTGGCTGGCTGGCACTGGTTGGTGGGATTCGGACACCATGAAGCATCCGACATTTGCCAACTAAGTTCCTTCAAGATCCCATCGCAATTAGTCAAAATATGTCAAAATTGGGATTCCTCCAGGCAATGCCAATGAATGGAGAGCTCTTGTGACAACCGTTGCCGCATGTTGCAAGTTCCGACAATTTGGGACTCCTTTTGGGTGTTGCTTCCGTCTTTTCCTCGAAAAAACGAATCACCACACAAAGCCAAGGACAGCACACCTTGCGACGTCAGTATCCCGTTAATCCGCTGTCCCTCTGTGCCTTCACAATGGCATTCTGAACGGATGTGGTTGAGGTCTTATCTTGCAGCCTGAAGAGAGTCAACGGTTGGTTGCGAAGTCCTTGACCCGAAAATCCTCTGTTCAGAGGGCCTCTGCAGAACATGGACTACAGTTCCAGTCTGGTCCTCTCTCTCTCAGGCTAGTGGGTATTTGGGGGGTCACTACGGCCTGGGCATGGGCAAAAACGCACGCACGCACGCAGAGAGTGATGAATGTAATTTCTGATGGGACTGGCAAAGTCGGACCATTTTTTCGAACAAAATGGGCAAAGCGACCACGGTGTGAATTCTTCCAGTTCGACCTCTCAAACGAGGAAAACACCCAACACGCACCAGTTCTGCCAACACCGACCATCCCCCCGGTGCATGCAAACGGACCACATGGACCAACCACGAAAAGCAAGCACCGAATGTAGGTTTCGAGCATTTTCCGAAGACGAACCTTGGGGTTCTATGTTTTATGTTTTTGGGGTGCATGTTCATCTGTAGGGGATGTAGAAATGGGGAGTGGGGTGGAGACGCCACTGGGTCCTACCTGGTCGACTGATTGGCCTGGCGGAACTCTTCCAAACAGAAACCTCTAGGGCCCTAGGGATTTCATAGGATCTTCCATTACCTCATGAACTGCTTTCACAGGTCAGTTTCATTCTATCTGTGGTCTCCGCAAGTCACCAACGAGTTCACTCAGCGCCTTTGCAGCAGGCGGGGTAGAATTTCGGGGACCTGGCCAAGAAAACGTTGGCACGACATGATGTCAAAAGCCAAGTCACAACAGCTGTTCACATGCGTTAGTTTCAAGCACAAAAACCAAGGTTTTACATGTTTGTTTTGTTTTCTCATGCTTGAGTAGTGGTTCTTTTAATATGACAAACTCCAATAAAATGAGCTGATTTTGACCAACAATTGAGCAGCCAGTCTTACAAACTTGGGCCATCTACTTTGAGGTCCCAATATACTGTATGTCCCAATTGCCTTTTGGCTTCCCACATCATCCCCTAAAGCAAACAGCCTGCGGCCAGTGTTTCGATACCTTAGCTATGCTCCCAACTGCAAGGCATACCTTGATTTCCTCCTGACTGTCTGGCCCAAGTGATGGTTATCCATCTTCCTTTACCACTCAGACCTCTGCATGTTCTGGCGTTCTAAAAGGCCAAACGATTTCAAAGTGGCATCTAATAATTGACACATTCTGACTTGACAAGGGCCAATTACCATCCTTGTAGTAGAGCGCTTCCCGCATCTTCCCACAGGATCGGCCAGCTTCTAACCCTGCCGTCGCCCAGCACGGTGTCCAAGCCACCTCTTCCTGCCCTCGAACCGCGAACCACAAACTGCGTGCACCTTCACGTGGTCGGCGGCCAAGTGCTTGGACAAGCCGCCCAAAAAGACCGCGATGCCCAGGTGTGCCGACTCCCCTGGCGAGCTGCACAGGTGCTACGGACGTATACGGTGCTCCCAGGCGGCGGAGGTGGTACTGTGGGTGCGGAGGTTTGCGTGTTCACCATACATGATATGTTTGTCTAGGCTTCCAAGACCATTCAAAGACAGGTTGACCTGGTTGCGTGTTGTAAAATCCTTAGAAAAGAAACAATGGTGGTTCGGCAAAGACCATTAAATCAATGGTTGTTGGAAGCCTAGGGTGTTTTGTGGGTGTGTTTTAGTTTGTCACAAGCTTATTCTGACAAATCATTCACAACTGGCATGCCAAGCCACGGTGGAATTGATGATTCTGAATCAACTTGATTCTTTTTAGACCTGGAAAGTCTTTAAGTGGCCAGGCTGCGTTCATGCGAGAGGAAAAGCTTTGTCGGGCCCGATCCGGGCCCTCCGCGCTCACCGCACCCTCTGCCTCTACTCGAGAATCCGCGCCATCCGCACCCTCATAGTTGGGGATGATCAATACTCAAAGCTCGACTTCCCTCCTTTGGCTTTATATGGCCTCGACATCCTTCGGTACAGCTTCGAGCCGTGTTCCCCCGCCTCCAGCGGTGCTGGCAGCGCTGTCCTCGAACTGCTCCACGATGGCGATCAACCCATCTGCGTAGGTCTCCCCGTGCTGTTCGATCAAACTGATGCCTGGCAACACACAAGGCGACACCGCATCGGACGATGCACCGATGCGTTTTGTCGTGCAGAAAGCAAACGCTGCATGAGAATCGGCACAAAGTCTAAAGCATACAAGATCTGATGCAATTGTGTGGGAGGCCCTCTATCTTAGACTGGGCATCTAGTAGATGCTGGTAGCAGTTCCATGCGAAAGCCTTGTGCTTTGACTTATAACTAATTTTTTAGCTGAGCTCCTTCTATCTGGGCTAATTGGACGGAAGTCTTCGTCACATAGATTCAGATTGATCATTCACTAGCTCAAGCCAACCAGTTCCTGTGAAAGCGGTAGTGTGAGGCAAGACCTGAGTTGCCAACCCCATCAGAATTCCTGGCTCCAATCCCAAATACTACTCTTTGCGTGCCTATAAATGCCTCACCCGGGTTTTGAAGCAACATGTTGTGCAAGTCTCATTGACATTGAGACAAAGAACCCCCCGCACCATCAAACCGTACCCGTTGACGCTCTGTTGCGACACCGCCGCCACACCTGCGGCCAAAAGCACATCTCGCAGCTCGCTCGCCTCGACGTGCCGGACGGGCTGCCCGTCTCCACGTGAAAAATCGACAGAAACTTCTTGCTAGGCAGATCCACTTTAATGAAGCAAATTTCATGGCTATCAATATCAAACAACATTCATTAAAAATCACGATCTTCGAAGCAAATATTGCTTGCTTTGGTCTGGATTCGGGTGCCATGAAGTGCATCCCTTGTCTTGGTTCGCCACGGCGTCAGGAAACACCAACAACGTGCGGTTCACATGTAGCACACTTGTCTCAAACAGCCCCCTTTGTCAGAATTGGGTAATGACATTATACATTACAGTATTCAGACATACATAGAAAGGGAAACGCGTTAGTCAGAACGACCAGTGATGCTTTTTGGCAAGTCTTCCAAAACTAACGTCTGTCAAACATTGCAAATAATTTCAATTGATTACATGTCCCGATGTTGCAGTACGCCGTACGCCAACAAACCGTAATCTTACAGTCTTACAGATTCTTGTTTTGGAGGGCTATGGCCACACTTGTCCAGCTTTGCTAAACAAACCACCCTCCCGGGAAACATCTACTGCTTGGATATATCAAAGATTATACATCAAAACATATCAAAACAAAAAACAACTGGTGAGTCCAGGAGTCCAGTTTGGACATGTGGACGTTTTCTCGACGGGCGATGTGTGCTCGGCACAAAAGTATATAACACCTTCTTCGTCTTCTCCCCGGGCACTGATTGTGGATCCCACCTTTGCCAAACAAACCATGCATTGAATAGTTATATATTTTATTACCAAACAAGATTTACCCCATTTTTCGGAACCCAATGTAGGTAAACTATATGTTCCATAGGTCTGGGTTCGACTTCATCCGGAAGCTGGTCGACTTCATCGATCCCCATTCTTTGGTAGTGAAGGACTGCGGTCGGTTCGGTCATCCGGCGATCCGTCGCGCAATGCGGTGAAACCCCCACGCGTGGCCTCGGGAGTGCTCCCGTTGGTGAGGCTCAAGCCCGGACGCAGTAAGAACTTGAAGGCCATGAAGACCTGCTCAAGGGCTATCTGCAAGGTTGAATTCATCTCCCTGGTGCATCTTAATTACAAACCAGTCTATCCACTCAAGCAACACAAGTCACAAAACGTACGTATCAAACTCGATGTCGGATGATATGGGTCCAAATCGGATGGCGCATCTGTTCCCAGGTCGCCTGCTCTTCGTCCTTGAGATTGGTCGCATAGATCCTCTCCAAGCATTTCGCCACAGTGATCCTGACGTTCGCCCCAGCACGGAAAGACGAGCGCAAAGGGCAACCGGATTCGAAAGTCAGTCTTCGCTTGGAAGGACAGTTGACCATGCGACCCTCAAGACTCCATGTTGTTATAGATGCTTTTCAGAATGTCCATTGTGGGGAGAAGATAGTCAAATAGGCCCTTCAAACAAAGCCCTCACAAGATATAATGATATAGACCCACATCATGACCTCACCAACAACCCCCCCTGACCTCACCCCTGCCCCACCAAAAACAAAGATACACCCCTCAACTACCCTCTCAACACCTCTCCGAGCTCACCTGGATGTGGATTCCTCTCGGAACAGTTGCGTCAACAACTCCAGCGCCGTCTGGGCATTCTTCGGATCATCCAACTCCGTGAGCACCTGCCACGGCCATGCGGCCGCGGGAGGACGGGTGCAACAGGGCGCATGGGATCTCGCGCGGACGGACGGGTGCATGGGATCCGCACATCCCTGCCGGCTTGAAGCTGAAGCATAGTGATCTGGTCCTGTTTCTGAGGAGGCCTGGGCCGGCCCTGGGCCTCCGACATGCACGGACGGTGGCCATCGGCTGCGAGATGTGGCCAGACATGGGTCATGCACGGACTACCAATACTACACGCCCTAGAATTATCACCTGTCAAGTAAAGGATTTCATGGTTATCCAAGGGGGCCATGCCACGTAACCATGATCATTCCATCCAGCACTGCTCGAAAGAGTGGCCCTTCTGGAAAGGGACTGCAGTCCACCGAGTATTCTTGTCTTGCTGGCAGTCCGTCCCAGGTGGGAAACCCATGGAATCCATCACCACCCCCGCCGCAAAAGGTTGAAAACAACCCAACCAGTGACTGGGTGGTAAACAACCCAACCTCCCCATCAGCTCGACAAGCCGCCCACCATCCGCATCCAACCCATTCCTCAACCCTCGCCGACCCATCGGCCCCGCCTCGGCCAAGGCTTTGGCCACCAAGTCTTGGACCTCTGGCAAAGTGCCCCGCTTCGAGGCATAGTCCACCAACTCCATCAAGAGCACCTGGAGAGGCCAAGGAGAGGCAGGCTGGAGAGGCAGGCCAGCTGGCTTTCCGGGTTTGGTTAGCTGGCCTGGCTCGGAGGAGAATGGCCGTGAGCTACCCATTGCTGAGCGTCAAAGAGTCGAGTGTCAAACACTTCGGGGAACACGTGTCACGATTGCTCCGGTTGTTTGGGAGCCGGCAGCATGGCCCGTGTTCAGAGAAGCTTATTTTACCGTAAGCTGGCAGCATGGCCTGTGTTAGAGAAATTCCCACCAAGAACCAAGATCTATGAACTACAGTTAACTAGATTCTAGATCCCCCACGGTCCTTTCTTTCGCCTTCCGGGCGCCGGGCCTCATCCACGTCCAGCTGCAAATCTTCCAGGGCCTTTTTCGCCACCTCCTCAGGAGTGTTCATGCCATGTTGGTCGGCCCGGTCTGGTGGAACCCGGTCGGAACGGAGGGGTGAAGCACCCGAGGAAAGGAGTGAGTCTGAGGAGTCAATCACTCGCGAGGCTGCCACAGCCGCGCGTCGAGAGGCCTCCGGACCGAGAGGCGAAAGTAAATGGCAAAAAAAAGGCTCTTCCCTATGGATCCACATACCTTCTGAGAAGGTGATTGGAGACTATTTATGTAGGCTTGGAGGGTCCAATTGTCTTGTGAGAAGGTATGTGGATCCATAGGGCTTCTCGGAGAATCACAGATGTTCAACCTATCCCAGACACGACCCGTTTGGGACTGACTGCCGATCAAGCCAGACCACCCAAAGAAAGCACCGCTGGCCGTTTTGAAGGCAGCCCTGATCGGTCCCAAACGGGTCGTGTCTGGGTATGTCATCTCCAGTGTGCAGAGTTCCGGCGTCCACTTCCACTGAGTTCTGCATCTGGCTTCCAGGGACGGAAAACTAGAGGAGCCAGTGGGAATGTTCTCAAAGTCAAGTCAAGGTTGAACATCAAAAGACCACCACCCAGCCAGGTATACTGAAAATACTTGTGGGATCCATCATCTTATAATAGTCGGTACATACTGATTATACCGTATCTGAAACCACCGAGAAGCAATAGACCCACAGCTCATCAACGGTCTCACCACTGGACCACCAGTGGTAAGACCAACACGTCCCGGCCGTGCCGTACGAAAAACGGGTGACTTGTTCGATCTGCGCCAGGTACGTTTACACGACCCTTGGCACCATCCCAAAGCACAACCCAAACGCTCCATGTATGCCATATATGCCTACATTGGGGTGGTTTGGGGGGTCAATGTAGGCATATATTCCATACATGGAGTGTCTGGGCAAGAATCCATTAGAACTACCAGCACCCCGCATAGGGGTCACCTGGCTGGAAGCCCACACACGACTGAAAGATCTCCAGATCAGGACACCCCTTCCAGGAAGGTCCATGCTTCATCATCGATCGTTTCCGAGCGTCCAGAGCTAGCGCGTCACGTCACGAGCTTCCTCTGATTGATGTGTCATGAGTCATGAGTCATGAAGAAATTCTGCACCACCACCATCCATGCCCCAGCTTTCCCATCACGAACCAGCCAATCAACGCCCCCACCGTTGGTCCAGGCAGCTGCCGACGCGTCCAGTGCCCCAAGCCGCAGCACCGCACGTGCTGCGTCCGCATCGACGGTGCCGTCCTGCGTCGTTGAGGGTGATGAGGCGAAGGGGTGCCTTCAACCCCGTTTGGGCTCCTGTCCTAGAAACCCCTTGCCAACCCTGGCCCATTGAACCGAAACCGAAACGAAGGTGGGCCAGGAGCCGGGAATGTTCTATAAACCCGTTTGGGCTTCTATTATGGGCTCCGAACGTCCCATCTCCTCAGGTGACCGGTTCGAAAGCCCCGGTCTCATCGAAGCGAAACGGAGGTTGGAGCATGGCCAGGAGGTGTAGGGAAGGTTCTGCATAACGTCATTGCTGCTGCACCTTACCTTTTGTTTCAGGGGGGTTTTCCTACTGCCTATGTCTTTGCGCCAGGAATGCAACATGCATTCTCTCTCTTGCAACATTGACCTGTTGTTCTCCTTTTCTTCAATTCAGGGACTAATCATGATTTGTCCCTCCACCTCAACCCCAAAAAAAAAGAACTTGGTCGGCAACATGCGCTTGTTTCAAAGGGCCTTTTCGATCCAAGGGCCTTTGTCGGCAAACAGCACCTACCTTGGGGGGGGTACACATCCACTCGCGGAAGCCGCTGCCGCTTTAGTTTCTCAGACTAACGATAGACTGATAGAATCAATATCCCGACCATTGGATGGTAAAACCCCTTTTAGTTGACCAAGAGTCTACATTGGGTGTGCATTGGAATAGGGAGACCGACCCCCGTTCGATCCCCTGGAAGGTTCGTCAAAAGCCAATTGGTTGGAGGTCTCCCTCTTAAAAACCGTTCGATGATGGCCAGGGGGGTCAAGCATCGCCCCCTTTTCTTTATGTAGGCACGGCAATCCTTGGGCCCTCCATCGTAGGGGTCGGACCCGACCTCTTAGCAGAGGTCCGGACCTTGAAAACCCATGTAACATGACCTGAATTGCACACCCCATGATCCCGATCTGCACACACTTGCCGCATGCCGCTCAAGCGGCCTCCGACCACCCTGCTTCACGACACGTCCACGACACGACGGACCGGAGCCCCGATGTGAAGAAGAGATGCACCTGGTTCCCGGTTTCCGAACCTGGAGTAGGATAGAAGAACCAAGCGAAGCAGAGACCCGGTTTGGATGTTCCCTTCTATATATCTACTCCAGGATGCACATTACATACACACATACCTGGACCTTCCAAGGGATGTCCAATGGAGATCTCTCAGTAGTGTGTGGGCTTCCAGCCAGGTGACCGAGGGTGCTGGTACATTTTTTCATACACTGGAGCTGGACCAGTCACTCATGGCATGGTCCAGATCAAAGAGATGTTGGATGCCATGCTTGATGCTTGACCGCCCCAACCTGACCATCCGAAGCTCCCAGCGCGAACGTTTCTCACGCGCAATCTGCCACTCAGCTCAAGCAAAGGCCTCCGAAGTGAAGAAAGCTGAATCGAAACAGAGTTGCTCCTCTCCAAACAGAAGCATGTAGGAGATATATGGCACCCCTCCCAAAATACCCCAAAATGAACTACCTCTTTCAAGATTGTTTTTGTGTTTACAGGGTGTGTGGGCTGGAGGTGGATTCAACTCATTCAATCAATCTGTTGCGTATACGCGAGGTGGATCCTGAACGGCACCTTTTCCAAGCGTCGTTGAGAGGGGATCGATATGATCTATGGAGGCCAAGGCGGCCTAGGCTCCAAGCCTTCTTGGTGTGCCGAACCTGCACAACAATGATAACCTGCTTCCATTGCATTGCTAGGTTTCAGGCATCAACAACCAGCCATCTATAGGTCAGGTGTGGAGATGGCGCATGTGAATGCGTGTGTCGGGTTAATGGCTCGACCAAACACAGCCCCTCCATCTGGTCGTTGTGGTGCATGAGTTTTGCCCTTGCGGGACATGTTGATGCAATTGAACTTGTGGCCAAAACATGCCAAACATAAACAAACCATTTGTGCCTTAGCCTCCATGTCCGGCCAATATGCATACTTCATCATACTTCACTCTGCTATGACTGTTGATTGTTCATGCAGCGTACACATCATAGTTCACCAGAATAAATATCCCCACCCACCCACCCACCCCGCAGCCACTTCTTCCCATGCAGCTCAGTGGCTTCCTCCCAATGCGCGCCCTCGCGGCCGGGAATCCGCTTGATGTGTCGGGCATCCCAGCGCAAGGAGGTGTCCACCACCGACTGCAAGGAGGCCTAGGAAGGCACGGCTACCCGTACGAACACGACGGAGTAGGAGTGAAGTCACTGGACAGGTGGTTTGGGGTGAAGCTGGACTCAAAGCGTGGGCATTTGCAAACATGAACTGTCTTTCGATCTATCCAGTGGAATGATGTCATTTTCTTGGGGCGGACTTTTTTAACGTTTTTTTGCTGAAAACAGTGGCATACCAAGCATCGAATATATCAATATCATCAAATGGTGGAATGAGTCTTTGTTTGGCGGACTGTAAGTTGTTTGCTGACAATCGTGGATCAACGGCAACGGGTCGATGAACGCATCAGGTTGGGCCTTCAAGCAAGTTATACAAGAAAAAACTACAACTGTACTACTATAATGGCCCACATTGCATATACTGTACTCAAGGGAGCTTGAAATAAAGGCAGCTGACTGCAAACAGAAGCAAAGTGCTGTTTTCTGAACGTCCCATTCCAAACTACGAGTAATGCTTTAGAACTTGCTCAAGTCTGTAATCCTTCCTTCTTTCACCCGTATTAAGATGCTTCAGCCAAACTCAGCAAACATATGTTGCTCCTCCTTTCGAATGCGCTCAAGTACCACCACGCCTACGACTCAGATTCAGTAAATACCATCCTTGTGCCCGAAGACTCAAAGATCCTTTAATTTAGGAGCCTTTTGGGATATCAAAACCAGGATACCTTGCTTATCCTTAGTTGACCTAGATGGGAGGTCGTTCGCTATATGGCGGACTGGTCGGGCTACAAGTGGGTCACGATCCATCCCCATATCCCCTCAAACACACTTGACTCAGAACCCCACCTGGTCAATTGCAAAGCGCACCAGCACGTAGTCTTGGCTCTGCCAGGGTTCCACCGTCCCTTCAGCCTGTGCAGCGGAAAAACGTCGTCCGCCCTCCCGGGTGTCAGGTGGACAGGAAGCTTGTCATGTTCTCCAGCTAGCAGGTTGGAGGCCATCGCTATTAGGTTGGAGGCCATCCCTTTGGTTGTCCGCCCCCCCATGTGGAGGCACTTCGTATACCTAGAAAGACCTGAAGTGAGGAGACCTTGGGTTCTCAGTGATGTGAACTCACCCTCCTCAGGCGATTCTTGGCACCAGATTTGGTTGATCAACACCGTCTCCATTTCCGTAGGCATGGCTGTCGCAATGCTTCCAATCCGCTGGGCTCTTTTTTTGGTAACATCCTCCTCCTGTTCGATGTTGTTCACCTCCTATTTAGTGTTTTTTCAAGTTTTCTCAAGTTCACCTCCTATCAGGTCTATCCTATTAGCAGTAACAATGGATGATGATTGTTACTGGAGGCCTTGTTCTAAACTAGTGATAACATGTGATAACTGATAACTGTTTACTGACTGCAGTTACAAGTAATAGGACAAACCCAAGCTGTATAATTCATTGATCCTTGGCGGAAAAAAGCCGATGATGCTATCGCCTCCTCCGGCTGCTGCTTCGCAAAGCACAAGGACCAAGAAGGCTTCCAATATCCTGGATGAGTCGAATAGTCGTAGGCGGGTCATGGCGGGTCCTTGTTTCCTGAAGGTAGACATGGGGGGTCGGAAGGCGTCGGAAGAGGATTGCCCAGGTTCTCTTGGGCCATCCAGGGATGAGTTTGACTCGCACACAGTAATGCGCAGTGAAATGGTTTGCCGGTACGGAAAGGTCACATAGTCCCATGCTTGATCTACTCGAGGTTCATGTTCACTGTGTTTCCGGAAGGTTTCTAATCTGGAGAATCAGTGGCTTGTCCAGCGCACCACTGGTGGGTTGTCTGCTTTCAGGTCACTCTATGAACAGGTCGTTCGCGAAGGAACTCACCGCGGAGTCAAGTTCGATCAATAGAGCTCTCCAAGGGCTGGACGTGAGGGCTGTGCATTCTGGGTTGTGACCACTTGGAACGTGAGGTCCATCCACAAAAACTGTATATCACATTGAAGACACGGCGGACCCTGGCAATGCCAGAAGACTTTTCAACATCGTGGCAAACAGCTTCCACCAATGGTTGGGCATCCCAGGGTCCCAATCAATGACTGGTTGCGGATCCACTAAACGCCTCCACTAGAACTCACGAATGATGGGAGATGGGATTATCTATGATTCACTGAGGCCAAGCCGTACCACAATGCACAAAGTCTTGATGAATAAACCCCTTCATAGTGAAAGGTTTTGCACACCAAATGGAGGGGGTTGCTGTATTAATCAAGATTCTACATTACTTTCTACCATGCAGGACCTTCTTTCGCAACGCTGCCCAGAGTCGACGTCGGCAATCCGGATCGGTCAGGATGCTCAGCCTCAGACGGCAACGTCACATGCTCTGAAAGTGACGTCCCACGTCCCGTGGTTTCTTATTCGCCCCTTGTTTGACAGGAGGATGGGTGGGATTGCTTTAGTCTCTCGCGGAGAATGTGACAGAGAATGATGCAACAAATGCACTCTGTCTGGCACTAACATGTTCGATTCTCCCTGGAAGTCCACTAAGCATATTTGAAGAACAGGTTGTTCGGTAAACACCTTTAAATCAATGGCCCATGGTGGTTTCAAGCCTGAGGTTCTGATACAAGTCTGGAACTTGGAGGTCTTAGCTGTTGGGGTCTGCTGAGAAGTTGGAATCCCTGGTCCTTAGAGCCCTGGAGCCACTTTTCTGAGAACTTCGCGGGGAAGTTGGGCCACCAGCCTCACCATAAGTGCCACCAGCCTCCCATCCTTTGGGCTTCCCAACTGCCCGGTGATAGTGCAATAGGCCGTTCGTGTGTGAGACACATAGAGCAAGGCCGCTTTCCTGCGCCCCGCAGGAAAGAGCGAGCACGCGGGGCGCAGATGGAGGCCAAGGGCGGTGGACTGAGAATCCGAGTGAAATGGTTTGCACCTGGAAACCCAGTCCCAACCAGAAACAAATGGTTGGAACCCAATATGGCCATTTTGCATCCTTTACATAGGAAATGGCTGGGACTGGGGGAACATCCATCTTGTTTCTTGTTGGGACTGGTTTCCCAGGTGCTAATCAATCCACATTCCACATGCTTTAGCATGCTTTCGCACATATTTTGGGTCGGCATTCTCCACTGAATCAACATCTTTTTGTGAAATGGGCTGACATCCCTATCTGATGATGCCCTTCAAAGAGTTTAATCTTGGCAGCCCCTCACTCATTTGCAGAATCCTGTGTGGAACTTCGATTTGCACAGCAAAACCACCAGCCCAGTACTGGCGGGGCTCTTTTTCGACACATTTCAACCAAATCAACGTAATGAACCGATCCCCCGGCAACCGTGTGCCCACTTTAACCAGCTTTTTGATCCACCCATGCAACAAGAACACCAGCTTTTTTTAGATGTACCACCAGCTTCTCTCAACCTACAAACACCCAAGCCGTCGCCTCGTGAGAGAAGTATATTATGGACTGCCTTACGCATGAAAAGCAAGGCCTGCTGGAACATGGACGAGGCGAATAGCTTGAATAGCTGCCCAAGCTAGGCCCAGATCAGATCTCCACCGTTCACCCCACCTGCACTCAACCTACCCCTGCTTTTTACATGCCGCGTCGTACATAGGCGAGTCATAGCGTCAGGTTTCGGCGTTGCTCGTCGCCCTCAAGCGCCGGCCCAACACGGAGTATGGTGGTGGTGATTTCAAGAAAAAAGGCCACCAGGAGATACCAGAACGCAAAGAAAGGGTTGCTTAGGGAATGCTGCGGGATGCTAGGGTGGCCTCTGAGAATTTTGGGCTTTCTTGATCTAGAAGGCCCCCATCACAAGGGTTTTACGACCTGCGCCCTGTTCTGACCTCCAGTAGAGTTCCTTGCAGTGTTCAAGCTACACCTAAAGTATATGGATGGGAATCTGAGAACGTCGGGAACGCACCACGTTCATATGATAATTACCTGAACTGCGCATGGATTCTCAAAGGTTTCCAACTGACTCAACCGTATCAATGCGAGTCTCCTAGAGCAGGTCTGTACCTTTGAGCTTCATGGCACTTGGACTCTCACTCTCACCTCTCACCTGGCCCAAAATCAAGGCGCTTCATCTAAACCTGCGCTAAAGCTACTCAACAAACGCATCTTCAGGGAAAGTATCAGAAAAAACACATCAAGCGGGCGTTCAACAAAGCTATAACTTCTAGACCCTAAGAACATGCAAAAACACATTGTAAACGTTCAATCTCAGCCTTCTCTTTGCCAACAAAGTGACTTCAAAAGCTCACTGCACATTGATCAGCGCGCGCTAATGCTGTGCTCAATGCTGCAGTGTGTCGTGGCGAGCACCTGGACGAGTCGCACGCGGCTCGCGACCGGACGCATGACGCGGTTACCGCTGCAGCGCGCCCCGCAGTGAGCAAGTCTCAAGCACCCAACGAAAACACGAGTCCCTGCCAGGACCACATGATGCAATACATAATGTCTTTATAGGAATCTTCACGAGTATACAGCAAATACTCAGTATATCTCGGTGTAGTGCTACTGTAAGCTTGAAGTAGATATAAGTACTACCTCAAACTGGAAGGATACAAAAAATCCAAAATTCCATAAAATTCCACTCCCCAAACTGCAAGCTTCCCCACCCCATCCCCCCAAAAAGGCACAGGCAAATTGAAGATGTACGTTCGAAGTAAAAACAACATATCACATCACCCATTCTCAGCAAAAGTTTGAACCCTCAAGCTGTGTGTATCTTCCAGCCTTGAACCCCCCATGAAAACCAGATCAGTTCTTCTTCCGACCGAGCTCCGGTTCATCGAGGCACGATGACACCGTGGCCGCAGGAGCCCGGCCACACGGTGACGCCCACATTGGCCAAGTGCCCACCATATTGGCCCAAGACCTCTCGGAAGACCGCGGGGTAGCCGGAGAAGAACTTCGCCTGGTCGGTGGGATGATGCGATGCGAAGTCGGCAGGAGAGACGCGGAGAGCAAGTGGTGAATCATGGCGAAGCGTTGAGATTTGGGGAGGACATGGGAGGAGCAAGGTGAGAAACAAAGGAGAGGAGAAGTGTGGAGAAAGAGAGTTCAGCATAAATAACGCAAACCAAGCAAGGTGTTGGTTTGCAAAGGGCAACAAACAGCACCACACCAACCACTTCAGTTGTTCAACTTGAAACATGAGTTTCATGCCACCTCGCCAGTCGTTAGCAAATCCAAATACAATCCATCTACATGTTCGTAAATTCCATCGGAATCCATTTTGAATACAGTAACCACAAAGTAATAAAAAGAAACAGCTCGGTGGTTGAAGTGTTCTTTCGGCATCCCTCCTGAACAACAGAAAAAACAAGCCGTTTTGATGGCTGGCTGCAGTGAATCCTCCGGCCTTACCGGTGCCGCACTCGGAGAAGTTCTCCCAACCTGCGTGGAACGACGGTCGTGCAGAACGGACGCAGCGATATCGGCCGTGCGTGCGTGCGAACCAGGAGGGGGAGGGTACACTCAGCTGCGGCAGTCACGGCACACTAGGAAAAAACTTGTGCTCCCCAATGTGAACGCGACGCCAAGAGGGGGGTCCCGGCATAGTCCTTGCAAAAACGTTGCTCCCGCAAGTAAACGCGGTGATTTTTGAATGTTTTTGGCGCGCTCTCCCCAACACAGTTCTCATGTATTCAAAAATATTCAAAACAATATTCCCACATCTAAACGCGATCATTTAGAAGTGTCATGTAGCCATGTTGTGCAAAAACGAGGTTCCCGCATGTAAACGCGATGATTTGGCAATGTTTTTGATGTGTTCTGAAGCCCCATCCGAAGCACAATTTTCATGTATTCACAACAAGCCTCTGGCATGGAAACGCAATGACTTAGCAACGTTGTTAATCGCTAATCTCCTTGTGGCCCATCTCTTTGGACCAGGCTCTGGGCACTTTACTTGAATCACACAAATTGCAGAGAGGTATCGGAACGAGGATGAACGAGAGGGTGAACGAGGTCAGAACCCGTGCCACCAAGGAAAGCCCTCAGAATGAAAACCTCTAGTTATATACCTCATCATGTATATTGCTCTCGCCCCTGTCCTTCTTTGTTTTCTCTCCTTCCTTCCTTTTTTCTTGTCTCCCCGCTTGTCTGCTGTGATCGGTGTTTTGTCTGCCGCTGCTGCCTTGTCTTCTCCCTAACTAAACGCAACATCGCCACGACTTCCATAGATTCAAATCCCCAAGTAAACGCTTCTAAAATTGAATGTCGCCACGACTTCAACATTTGAGAGTAAGGTGGAGTGTTGCGGATTTAATGGGTGTTAGTAGAAGTTTGCAGGCTGGCATAATCAATGCTGGCATGATCAAAAGCTCCCTTGCAATCACCAGATTGCAGCACCATTTTGTGAAGGGATGTGAAGGGTATAGAGAGAATGGATGTGAGCAACAGCCTACAAGTCGCCATCAAGAGTATCTAATATATATATATATATGTTATTCATATGCTTTCGTTATGGTGGGAAGTTTATGGAAGGATAGTACCCTAGGGCTCTTAACTATATCCTCAGGTTCGGTGGTTAGACCCCCCTGGAACCCCCTACCCCAACCACCAAACGGAGGGCCAGGAGCCCTATGATGGACCCATTGGCCACCGAGGCGCCATGAGTGCCGCAGAGCTGGTTCTCCAAACGCTTCTTCAGCGAGGCACCGCCGCCATTGAAGTGCCGGTAGTGGATGTGGAACCGGCCTCGACAGCGCCCACGGTGGCTGGACCCGAGAAGCCTTCGTTTCGAGAGAGATCCGAGACAAATGGACCTTTGGAGGAGGAAGATCCCCACCCAAATGATCCAAATGAACCACAACATGAATCAACCACAGTTGGAGTCCCATCCCATCGAGGGCGACACGAGCCCAAATCCGAGCGACTCTGCGTGCGATGGCCAACTGGATTGGTAATCAACACGCAGCTGCCACTGGCACAGCGGTTGTAGGCGGCCCGCAACATGCTGTCATAGTAGCCAGCGTTGCCTCGAAGCGCTTGAACTTCACTGTGTGCCAGCAAACAACACAAAAGAAGAATTCACACATCTTGACACACATGAGAAAGCTATGGTGTTTCAGAGGCAAAGTAACTCAACAGCCTAGGGTTATATAGTTGCACCATGTTGCACCCTTCTTATCTTCTTAACAACCCCCCAGAAGGAAATTGGCTCAACTGTGGAACAGACTGAACAATTGCCGAAGATGTTGTGGTCTCCCTTTTTCCTGCCCAAATGGATGGCCTCGGGCCAACAAGCATTCAACACTTCAGTCCTCACAGCAACCCTCGCAGCTGCAACCGAGTGGCTGCCATGGATGGATTCCATGCCGTGGGCGTCCCCGTGCCCCGCCACAATCATGTACCCGCCGATGGCGCAGTAGCCCACCCCGTGGCACATATTGGCCAAGAAGCCATCCGCGTAATGGGCACCCAACCTCAAAACCCAGCCGGCTCCAGTCGTACCTTGTGAGGTTCGGTGTTTGGATGTGTTTGGGGTTGGTTTAGAGGCTCCAGTCATACCGAACCTGAGGAGGTACGACTGCCTAGGGTGAGCCTTTTTGACCACCAATTCCGCGCCCAACATCCCGGTGGGGATCCAATCCGATTCAAGGAGAGAATCCGATCAGTCGATGGGCTGTCGGAAGATCTGTTGACAAGTCTGACCCCCCCCCCCCCCCCCCCCTTCCCCATGCTAAGCCCCCCCCCCCCCTGCATCCAGACGCTCGCCATGCCTCTGCCGGGTCGCTCCGTATCTTCAGGTGTGATGTGATCCAGGTCCGCCACCGTGTCCTCCGGCTCATCGCGACCGGACGCGTCTGTGGCCTTCACCTGCAGGGCGTTCACCGCGCAGGCGTCGTCGCCGCGGCACTCGTCGTCCTGAGCTGCTGGGGTGGTGTGTCATGGGGTTGACCAATGAAGATCCCCATTGGGGGATGGATGAAGAAGTGAGAATGTGTCTGTATTTTCTGGCTCTAGAAATCCAGAAAGGTAAAAGAACAAGCGGGGGGCAGTGTGTGACTGTTGGATGCTGTTGGCACATGAATCACTGTGCTGAATCATTGCAGAGGAATTGGTGTGCGATGCATGTTGGCGTTTTGAAGCTTTCAACTCTTCAAGGACGCTTGGGTATCAACTGGGTACTCAAGTGGGTGCACCTCAAGTCTCACCAAGAAGGTGCACTTGAAGGTGCACATTTACACGAACAGCCGTGGTACCTTGTAGAAGTCCGAATCTGAGTGGGACCCAACGTGACGAAAGAAGCTGTTGATAGACGAACGTACCCTTGATGTAGTGGCCAAAGGGTCGACAATCCCTCTGTTTTTCACAGGCTTTCCCACAAAAAGAAGGAATCACCATGGTGCCATATGGTGCCACTTCGACCTTTCGGACCCCGAAGGGCACGTCGAAAGCAAGTTCACTCAAGGCACTCCCTGCAACGCCTGCGTGGGGGGAAGGTCTTCGGATGCCAGCATCCCCTTCAAAAGGGCAAGACTGAGGATGCGCAGCATGGCGAGGAAATATGGACGCCAAAGACTGAAGTTACAGCAACTTGAGCCGGCTCAGGAGTTCGGGGGACCATGACAAACGTGGTAAACCCCAATGGGCCTTGGAGTACTTGTTATGAATGTGAAATAACATGAAGCTTCGAATGATCGTTGAAATGAGTGCTTTCTACACATGGTTCATGCATGTAGACACCTGGAAATTATGTCCTCAGGCTAGCCGCGTGCAACAAACGGTTTGCTTCTGCCTCTGCCCATGCAACAATGCCAAAGTGTTTCCACATCCAAAACGGTAGCGTGAACATCCCATCGCCCCGGTATGAACATCTCCTCCAGAGCCATTAAAAAGCATCAAAAAGCCATATTGGGCCATACGAGCGAATTCATATCCATAAAATAACCAAAAACACCACAGCTATAGCTTCCCCATCCAAAACCGCCCCCTGCCGCAACCTGCCTCATCCCTCGTCCCGCGCCGCTTCGGTCGTGTTCGCGTCGCGTCGTGTCCTGCGGCCCTGGAGGATGGCTTGCGCTTCAGGCGAGGTGCGCTGGAGGGCGAAGTGCAAAAAGCCCAGGCCCAGCACCTGCGGCGATTCCAGCAAGTCCTGCGGCGGCGCCACGTCAAAAGCGCACACGTCCGGACTAAGGACGGGGGATATTAAGTCCGGGGTCCCAGCAACCACCTAAGTGAGGGGAAACAATTGTTTTTTTTGAAATGCACCAAGTGGTGGAATGTGACGTTTATCAGGTGTTTTCCGTTATCCAAAATGCTCGCCCACTTCGTTCGTCAGCCCGGCTACGTCCCCTGATGGTCTCCCCGAACCGCTCCGTGAGGAAGTTCCGTTCCATCTGTGGCACCAGCGGCAAGGGGCCCTGGAGCGAGAAAAGGCGTGGCAGGGAGTCGCAGCATGGTGCAGCAGGGTGGGACATCGAACTGGTGCACAACCCGGTGACGGCAGGGATGACTGTCCTTTACCAGGTGATGTCGTTCAGAATGTGAGAGTATAGGAACCCTTACGCCTGGCCGTATACGTCTTATAGACTGAGTTTTAAGAACTGACTCTGAAACTAATGACTTCGTGGCTAAGACCTTAAACTATATAATTACTCTTACACTCATACTATATAATTAAAATACTCTCTTAAAATATATATCTTAAACTAATGACCTCCAACTGGATGTCAAAGCTTGACATGGGGATGGGTCGTGACTCTGGGTGACCCACCGTGTTCGCCCGACGGTCGTCCACGTAGCGACCGACACGTGTCGGGTGTCGGTCGTGCGGTCGCGACCCGGTCGAGCTGCTGTTGGTGGCACATAGGCAGTCGCTTCGGGCAAATGGGGATCCACTCGCAGCGCGTGACTGGCCACCTTGCGGCGTGGCTGGGAGTGTGAACTGGCCACTGATGGATGTTTGCTTTTACCCACATCCACTTGAGGCATGATTCTGTGGATGTCCCTCCTTGGTCCAATGTAGACGATGGGGAGCATGCCTGGAGATTTCACCGTGCTCATCCCATGTGTGTGTGGCTCCGGTGTTCTCTCGTTGGGTTCGCTACGACCACGGTGGCATGAAACACCTAAAATTTGGGTCACAGTGGATGCTGATGGTTAGGTTCCAGGCCTTTGTCTAAGAGTGATAACTGTCTACTGACTGTTACAGGTTTACTGGGACAGACCCAACATGAAATCATAGGCTCTAGAAACTGGGTCAGTGGGATATGGCTGAAGCACATGTCCAGTACGTGGACGATTTCATTCCTTCCAAATCCATGTGACGCCTGTGACGCCATGCGAGCTGAATGGCCAAATGATCGCCAGGCAGTCTCCGAATGGATCCCCCCTGTTCAGCAGGGAGCAGGGAGAAGACTTCAAACACGGGGAGTTCGTTGGAAGTTCCTCACCCAACTCATCACTCTCGCCCCGAAGCCGTCATTCGTCGCGTGTGGTGGGCAGTCGCGGGCACCTGCGAGTCTTGCAGCAGAAAGCACACTGCTGAGGTGCGGATCACCTCAGGAAGAGCAGGAAGAGCAGGAGGAAGAGGAAGCACTTTGGAACAAATCGCTGGGACGTCACTCTCCGCTGTTTGACCAAATCGATCGCGATAGGAAGGAGTGCAGGCTTCTGAGAAACACTATAGAGATACCACGGTATAGACTTAGAACAAAGCAAAGCAAGCACCAAATACACCGGCCGACAGCATTCTGCAACTTTGAGAATGGCGAACTATCGCGGCCCCAGCTTGTTGGATTGAGAAGCATGCCCCAAGTTCCAAAACAACTATAGAATCCTCCTCACGATTATGTGAGAGATCAAACTTCCACTGATTTGAATCCACTTTTATCTCTACACTCCTTGAAACCATTATGGTTATTTGGATGGCATGGCCGATTTCGGACCCTGAAATCCGAAGACCTGGCCCATGACCAAACAGGTGTTGATGTCCGGTGACCAATCACTTTGGGGAGTGCGACGTCCTCGATCGATATCTCATCGGCCTCTGTCGGTTCCGTTGGTCTTCAGGTGATTTTTGTCGGGGTTGGAAAAGGCGATCGTAGCTGGCTTCTCCAGAGACAAGAAACGACGAACTACGCCTACTCTCTGGAAACGCCTAGTAGCTGGCTCAGGCAAAATCTCACACATGGCCTTCCTCTCCGTGGAACTTTTCAACATGGAAGTGGACACCACTGATTTGTATACAGGAAACTGCCCTTTCTTGGGGCCAGTGTCCACTGCCATGATTGTTAGAGTAAAGGGTCAATGCAAAAGCCCGCACGAAGCATGGACGCCATGATCATCATCCCAAACACTTCCATGGACCCTGACCTCACGAAACTGAACACAACTGAACACCACTGAACACTATTGCAACATATTATAATCCACCAAACCAACATCGATGTAATTGTTCATAGTGCGACCATGTGCGACCAACCATCGACCTCTACAAACCCAGTGGCCACCCAGTGGGGACGTCTCGGCTCGCCCTCGGCTCCTCGGCTCCACCGCGACGCGAAGCGAAATGGCCCAGGGCACTCGGAGCACCTCAGCGGCCACCTCCTCGGGCGCCCGCGGCAAGGTCAACATCGCCAGCTCCGTGCGCTTCTCGCGCTGCTCCCTGCGGCAAGACACAGCGCCAAGGTCCGTCCGAGGATCCGTGGCACAGGAAGCGTGCACGGAGAGGCATGCATCACAGTCACATGGACAGTCGGAGCCCAGTGCTTTTTTCAACACCGGAAGCGAGAGGTGTAGAAGCGGACGGCCGTATACAGCTGTAGGGGTTCCGGATTGACCGCCGCCCAGGGACCCATCGTCGCGGCCTCAAGTAGTACATGAGTGCTGAGAAGGGTATCGCGTTGCACAGGAAGAAGATGAAGAGAGCTTTCCCGCCTGGCAGGCCGAGCCATCTCTAGTTGCAGTAGGGCATCATTACCCAAATAGGTAGATCACCTTCGATCTTTCTGGCATGCTGACATCTGGATGTGAAACTGCACTAAAATGAACAACACGCACCAGGCAAACTCCAATCCATTCACTAGTGCCTTTGAGTTGGGTTGATTTATGTTGATTTATATCCCAATCACCATACGTACAATACAACATTCAATGTCAGTCATCCTCCCTCTACCTCGCCATACCTACCACCCTACCACCCTACCACCGACTCCTACCACATCCGACCGACGCTTGGGACCCCGCGCCTCGGAAACCGGGACTTGGGTCCTTCTCCGGCTCCGGAGGCCGTGGCACAAACCCCGCGCCTCCGGCGTCACACGGCCACGGACTCCGCGGGCGCGGAGCCGAGGTGTGTCATTTAAAAGGCGTTGAAGTGTGGCCAACCCCCTGAGAAGCTAAATCATCCGATCAACAAGAGTCTTAGGATGCCTTAAGTACCCCAACACTGGAAGCTTGCAGCCTAAGGAAGTGTTGTTTCTCGAGGATGGGGGGACTGGAATGCTGAGAATGAGCTTGGCTTCAAGGTATGGCGAAATACGCCCTCAACCTTTAAGTTTCACCGAAATAGTACAATCATGTACAATCCATGAGGTCTAACAAACTATTTAGCATGTATACTGACTCTCTTGTAATTAGTCTGTTTCTATGACCATCATCCACTTCCTCAACCAAGTCGCGTTCTGAAAGCTCTGACAACCCGGGAGATGCCGTGGGCGGTCCCGCATTTCCCGGCGCCACCACCTCATTGCCGCATGCAACATGGGTGGAACTTGGATTTGGCAACAGCTAGGCAGCAATTTCACATCGATGAATCTTGCTCCAAGGCCGAAGGCCTCATTTCGCTCGGACAGCCTCCCGCAGCTTTTTTGGAACCCATGTCGGCATATGTCGGCCCCTCACCAATGTACTTTGTCGTATTTTTTTGAATGAAGTGGACTGGGGCCTCCTTACACCCACTTCCTCAAATCTGTTTCACACAAGAGTGGAACATCTGCTCCAGCCACCAAGAGTGGCAAAGCCGAAGGGCCTGGGTTGAAAGAAGCCGCTGGTGCGGGACACGCCTAGGCTGAGCGGCAAAGAGAGAGGGATGAGGCAACTTTTGTCACGTTTTTGCCCGGAATGTTCTGGCATTTGTTTTGTGTTTTTCGTTAGGGTCATCCATGACTCTTCTGCAAAAAGGTCTGAGAAAAAACAACATTGGCTTGTTGGTGTCCTTTCCTCTCCAGTCGCGCAAAATCGTGTACATACCATGCACATCATGCGAACGGCCATCCATCTTCTGGGGGACTGACACATACCCCTAGTCTTCAAAGACCATCAAATGAATGGTTGACCTGGTGGTGTAATGTAAAAATCCTTAGTATGGTCGTTCGAAATTGTTGTTCGAATCAAGAACTTCCAAAAGCCATTCGACACCCCTAGCGATGCCCTTTTTCGATGCCATCGTCTGGACCGTTCGCGAGCCCAAACTGAGCCAGCGGGTCCCAAACAAGCTCCAGTCATACCTCTGAAACGTACGACTGGACCCTCCTGGCACCCACTCCAGTCCCGCCTTCTTTGGGAAGGTGCGACTGGAGCCCTAGGGGGTGCAAACTCATGTGAACCAGCTGAAGCAGCTATAGGCTGTGAGAAATATGTTTGGGCATACCACTCCTCAGGGAAAATGTAAGTCTTGCACAAATGGAATCTTGGATACGACCCTGTCACATCGAATCCTGAGATCGGCCGCCGTGGCTTTTCGCTGATTTCGAGCTTGGGGAACCTTTCTCCATCTTCTCTTGACACCTCTTGACACACACACACACATACACACATTGCAACATCGATATCGATTTGTCGCCAGCTGACTGTAAGGCTGCTGAAGCGCGCCGGAGCAACATGGCCCCGTGCGGACCAAGGCAAGGCTGGGAAATGGTTGGTGCATGTCTAGCTGTCGGGGTTTGGAAACTCCCCTTTTTTTAGCTCCTGGAAACATCCATGGGAAATGTGGATACCCCCGGCGACCCTCGGTCGCGAGCAAGAGCAACAGCAAGAGCTAGATGTTCATGTGGGATCAATGCTTTGCAATTCGTTGGGTTCTCTTATAACATGCACTTGCAGGATCTTGCAGGTAGATTGCTTCAAAGGGACAATGGCCTGATTCTCTTGTGCTACATCTTTGCAACAGGCACACAGTTGTAGAATTCATTTCGAAGTCTCTACGCGTGCCTTCTGCCTACCTTGCAGCCTACCTGGCAGAGGATGTCGAAGTGCTGCAAATGCACAAGCAGCACCACGTGCACATGGTGGACAAGCAGGGCGTGAGGCAACCATGTGGTGCAGCCTAAATCATTCCGCAGTGTGGCAGTGTTCATCAATTGTGCATGTATCTCAAACCTGCCATACATCAAGCCAAAAGTCAGGGGCATTACATCACACAAAGGAAGTCAGCTTCACCCCTCAAGCACGAAACCGTCGTTATTCTGAGTTGTTCGGTACGTATAACCAGTGAGAGAATCCATCGGGGCAACTGCCGCTAGCCACAGTTGTTCGGCCCATCCATCATTGCAAACCATCACTGATCAAATGCACAAATGGAAAGCCAGGATGAAGCCTGACTGTGTTTAACCGTGATGAGAAGAAATTCTAAAATTCATTGTCATTCTACATTGTACATGTTCCTACTGTTGCCAAGGCCGAAAGCGACCATCATCACGGGAGACTGGCTTTCCTGGGTAATGGTTGTTGTTGGCGTGACTCGTACCTCAAAATTGAGAGGTTAAACGAAAACACAGTGACAACCAAACAATCACTGGATTTCTGGGTTCAAAAGACTGTCTGGAACTTTTCGGGTATCATTATTGCCATCATCCTGGTCATGCGAAGGGCACTTAGGGCAGTGCAATTGGACTACGTGCGTCCATTGACGCCACTGATCTGCCATATAACTGTTGCACCGTTCATGAAAACAGGTGCCTCTCATCAGCTTCCTTTCCCTCCTCCGCCGGCTGGCAAACAGGCAAAGCATCTGTCTGTCTGTTTGTCTGTCCTGCACCTTTTCGTTCTCTGGCAAGGCCCCCAGCGCGGAGATCACAGAACTTCTCATCAAAGCTTCGTTGGAAAAGAACCTCAACCCATGCCAGTATGCCGATGATACAACGGATACTGGGCGCAGGGGGAACCACGTGTCAAAAAAGGGGTGTTTTCCTTCAATGCTGGCCAATTGCCCTGCCAGGCGGCGGCTCTTGCTCCACGTGTGGAGGTGAAGTGCGCAACGACCATGTCACAAAGGCACACAACCATATACACTCCGACGAGCTCATCACATGGAAGTGGAGTGAAAGCCCGCTATTCCTCGGGGAAATAGTACGTCTAGTCTTCCTGTCAGGACCATTGGCATCCACGTTCATGTGATGTGCTTCGTCCGGAGTGTATCACTACACATCCTGTTCCCCGCTGCCCGCTGCCCATCACTGAGACCCATGGTGATGGCGAGGTACATGTCCGCCAAGCGGACCAATTGATCTGTGGATGAGATCATGTGCTTGCTGGCCGCCACCATCGCGGCCTTTGGAAGTCGGCTTTGGAAGTCGAATCGTGCCTTCCTCATTCTAGTTAGGTCATGGAGCCATGAAAAGCATCAAAAAGTCATGATGAACTCAGGTTTTGCAATTCAGGAACTCAAGCATTCTTTGAACATGTCTTTTGGGCAAAGCGCGTGCTGTGGTCTGGAACGGTCCTATGACATACCCCCCGCGCGGTTGTTTCTGGCAGTCCCACGTTCCTTCCGTGGTTGGACGGCTTCAAGGCTTCAGGAGGCGTCTCAACACAACGGCCGATCCGGAAAACTCACCATGGAGTCGTGGAGTGTTCAAAGCATGGTCATTGGTATGCGAGTGTCGATTTGGACTTCCATTTGGCGTTTGGATTTGGTATTCTATATATTCTGGACACCTCGCACCTGCATTGGTCTTTGGAATTCACGGTCATCCGAGTCTCCATCCCATCCACGTAACCATGATGATTGTTTCAGGGAGTGTAACAAACGGATGTGTGCCTCACATTGTCTGGTGAGCTGAGATCCGATGTTAAGGCATGTTGAGAGGCGCTTGGCGTTACCAAAGTCCGTGTCACGGTAGATCAGCAGCATGTGGCGGCCAAGCTACAGGGTGAAAGCGGTAAAACTGACATCATTGTTTCACATAACTTAATATTATAAATTATAAACCTTAATTTTCTTCCAAGTGAGGTGAAAAAGATTTCACAGAGTTTCTATAACTCCATTCATACTCCCATACTCACTGCAATTCTCTGGTTGGAACGGCCACCTCGAGACACTTTTCGCATGAAGGTCACCTCACCACACGGTGCTCGGCAACTGACCCACCGCACTCCACAATCTGACACACCTCGCCTGGGCCTGGTTGGACATGCCCGGAAGCGCCAAGAGCACCACACTCAGCGAGTCAAAAATCTCCATCGCCGTCTCTTCCGGCACCTGGCGCAAGCGAAGCAGAGTCGACAGGTTTTGTCATGTTTTGCCTTTCCTGAAGCGTATGTGGATTCACAGATTGGGGAACCCATGACCCAATGAATCCTTAATGGTTGCACCACAAAAATGGAATCCAATTAAGCATTTTGGGAAAACTTAACAAGTTTTGTTGCTTTTCACCACTAGCTGCACCCGCTTCCCCAGGCAAGGGGCCAGAGTAACTTCAGTTAGTTATCCCACACCATCCATGTATGGAATAGTTACTGGGTCATAAACAAACAACTTGACAACCATATACTATATATATACACAATATTCAGTAATTACATTGTGTGGATATATGTGTATATAAACATGTGTATAATGCTGCTACAGAATATACACTAGTATATGCATATATACCTTGTATGGACCTCTGAGAACTTTTTGGAGGCGAAGAGTGACACTAAAATCTAATGAATTGACTGACCTCCTTTTGGTGTAGTGCAGAACTCCATGATTTCCAGTGCTTCAGCTTGCCCATCTTTCAGAGCGAAAGCGACGAACACCACGGTTGGAGCGGGATGCCCACCCTGGAGCTCGATGTTCACCGGGTTCTTGCTCCCCGGCACCACGTGCGATTTTACGTGGCACCCAGTTAGTTGTCCCAGGGCGTCCTTGTATGGAATGGTTATACATCCATTGACCCCAATTTAGTCTGATGAGATCCTGCAAGCAATAGAAAACAGGTCGCGTTGGGCAAGCCCAACTTCTGTGGCGTTGCCCCAATGTTCCTGCATGTGTAGGTCGCTTTCATTTTCACGGTTTTTGCGGCGCGACTTGGCATGGCAAGTCGAGCAGTACCTACTCTCCCGCTGCTGCCGAGATGTTTCCCGAAGCTGCTTGACCCCAAACACCGTTCCCTTCCGCTTGGTCCAGGACTCCATTATGACCTCAAGTGGAAAACGAAGGTCGCCACTCAAGTCTCTCACTCTGGCGGCCGACATGGCTTGGGCACCTGCATTCCCAAGGTCAGTTGACGTTCTAGCAGCTGAAGCGCTTTGGTACAAAGCTCCTAACAGTAGCAGATTGGAAATGAACATCCCGAACCAGCTTCAGCCCCTGAAACATGGTCGCCAGCTAGCAGCTGCGTAGCTCCAAACAGGGACTCCAAGGAGCATCCTCTCGGGTAGCTTGTACAGTGGCAAGCGCATCTCGTTTCGTGCCGCTTCGTGTGAAACCCTGACGAAGTAAGTCAGTGGTGGTGTCCTGCAACTGGGAACTGCTGTCGAAAAGAGCTCGGATGATGAGAGGTAACACCTTGGATTCCACCAGGTGTGAGAGTTTCTCACCCAGCGGCGTGACGGGGTGCGAGCGCTTGAGGTCCGGTATGGGGGGATGTCTGGGGGGCCCTTGTTTCCAGAATCGGGTCAAAAGACGGTACCTCGACTCAATTCAATATCAAACAAATACCTTATACCGTCTTCCATCAGGTCCATCATCCAATTTCCTTCCAGGGGCCAGGGGCAGGTTCGGTCAAGAAGATCTGCCAGAATCATGGCCTTACAAAGGTGAGGGTTGGAACAGTCACCTCCAAATTGCATGTTCAAAACCTTGCGAGATTCTATTCACCCTACTAGTAGGGCTCCAACATGCTCCAACTATATCCTCAGGTTCGGTGGTTAGACCCCCCTGGCACCCACCCCAACCACCTTCGAAACGGAGGTGGGCCAGGGTCACTTCCCTCTTTAGGGTCGCTTGTTGGGTCGGAACAACGAAAGCATCACTTGATCGCTTGATCAGCCATCTCATTCTTCCACTTGATCGGTGGATTTTCAGGTCACTTCCCTCCTACCACCCCCGTCCAACTCCCGCTGAATTCAGGTCGTGGTCCAGGCCGCCAAGGCTAAGGTAGAACCGCTGAGTCTTTGGTGCCCATCCACGCCCGAAAGCACGACCTGCCGAATGATCGAACATGGGTCCTCCCAGGGCCCTCCCAGGCCCTGACTCGTCATCGAGGAGGAGTCGAAGCCTCTAAGATCATCAGTAAAGGCCCGACCTCATTACATCTCTATAATGTGGAAACAATTTGACGTCTAAATGGATTAAAGTGGTGCTTGATCGAATGGCACGAAGCAACACTTCTAACGAGGTCTCACCAAGTCATTGGTCTGCAGGTCTCACCGAGTCATCGACGGCAGCAACCGATGCCTTGCGAGAAAACACTGCTGTGGAGCACCTGAGGGCTCTACAGATCTTCCAAACATCTACCAGCATCAATCCATCACCATCACCATCACCATCACCATCACCATCATCGTCAGCATCAGCATCATCATCATCATCATCATCATCATCATCATCATCATC